CAACGCTGCTCCGAGGCGCTGAGCAGCGAGGCTGCCGCCGGCGCCCCGGACGCGGTCGCCCTGGCGCCCGCGGTGCTGGAGGCCCTCTCGCGGACGCCGCGCTTCGAGACGAGCGCGCGCTGCCTCTCGGCCGCGGAGCGGCGGGCGTGCGCGGGCCTCCTCGAGCGGCTGGGGGCCGCGGGCGCATGCGACGAGGCGCAGGGGCCTCGAGCAGTGGCGAGGCGTCCCGGCGTGCCCACGGGCTCACGCAGGAGCGTTCTGAGAGCCTCTCGTGGTCTGCACGAGCTGTTCTCAGGACATGTCTGGCTGAGTCTGTCTTGGATTGTCACATCGGGTGCATGGTCTAAGAACAGTGTGTTTGTTCTTCGAACATGTTTGGGTTCTAAGAACATGTTGTGGTAGGACTGTAGGAATGCCGGGACGGTCGGTCCCTGCTCAACCAGGGAAGAAATGACGCACGGACGCAAATCGGTAGAGGGGAGCAGGTATTGAATATTCCCTCTCCCCCGCACACTCAAAGCTGGCACGCGCGGGGGAGACTGGGGTCGGGGTGCAACTCATCAGACCCGACGTCAACGCTGATTCTTGGGGGGAGGGGGGGGCGTTGACAGATGAATGTGGCATGAGTGTTCGCGATTTTTCCCAACCATCCTGTGGTGCTGGGTCCTCGTTTTGAGGAGACGGTCCCCGCGTTCCTTCCTCCTCGCCCCCCCCGGCCCCAGTGGGGTGGCCACATGCGCCCGCCACACGCAGTATATAGCGTTTCGTGGCCTTATAGGGAGCTCCACCCAAGGCCCCAGTGGGGGTGGCCTCATGCGTTCGCCACACCCCAGACAGCGCTTCGTCGGCACACCCCTCACACGTTTCGTGGCCCTATACAGAGCTCCACCTGCGGCCCCAGAGGGGGTGGCCACATGTGTGCGCCACACCCAATACAGCGATTCGTGGCCCCACAGGGAGCTCCACCCAAGGCCCCAGTGGGGGTGGCCACATGCGTCCGCCACACCCACTACAGCGCTTCGTGGCCCCACAGGGAGCTCCACCTGCGGCCCCAGAGGGGGTGGCCACATGAGTCCGCCACACCCAGTACAGCGTTGGGGTGGCCACATGCGTCCGCCACACGCAGTATAGCGTTTCGTGGCCTCATATACCACGTAAGGCCCCAGTGGGGGTGGCCACATGCGTCCGCCGCGCCCAGCACAGCGTTCCGTTGCATTATAGGGAGCTCCGCCTGCGGCCCCAGTGGGGGTGGCCACTTGCGTCCGTCACACCCAGTACAGCGTTCCGTGGCCCCATAGGGAGTTCCACCTGCGGCCCCAGTGGGGGGGCCCGCATGCGTCCGCTACACCCAGTACGCCCCTCACACGTTTCGTGGCCCGTCCCCGCCACGCCCAGTATTCACAGTCGTATGATTTGGCGTATCCATGCCCGCATTCATGCACATAGACTTCCTCGCACGCAGACTCAATCACAATCAGACACGCTCGCGCTCAGTCTCGCCCGCGCTCAGTCCCCCGTGCTCAGACCTATCGTTTTCGTTCGGCTGTGTATCCCGCCACGCATGTCGGCACACCCCTCGCACGGCTCGCGGCCCCATAGGGATCGCCACTGAAGGAGAGATTCACGATTGCGGTATTCACAATCGCATATGGTTGAGTCCTTCGCCAGGATCATTTTCTGATGCTTGATTCTCGTCGATTGAAAGGACAACGTTCGAAGAAGAAGAAACGTCATATACGTAAACTTTTGGTGCTCCGCGCGGACTTCTTGGATCCGCGCTGGGCCCCCCCCGGCGGCGCCTTCGGTGCCGCCCCCGGGCGCGCTCCGCGCGCCAGAGAGGGGGGGTCCAGCGCAGATCCAAGCAATCCGCGCGGAGCGTCAAGAATTTATGCTTGTAGCGTTATTTCTTCTTCCAAACGTGTGGAACATGTGGGAAGTGAAGGGGAAGACGAATCTCCAGGAGGTAAGGGCAACGTGGGGAATACTGGGGTTGTTTGTGTCTATTTGTTTGTATGTGTGTGCGTGTGTGTGTGTGTGTGTGTGTGTGTGTGTCCCTGGGCCCCTTCACTCAGGGGAGACATGCTGACGGGGGGATGCGTTGACCCCCAAGCGTCCGCTGATCACCGACAGGGACCCGATGATAGCCCACCTTGCCCAGGGACGTGCGGTCTTGCTACCGAGGGGCCTAGCCTGTCCGCGATGCATCGCCGATTCCAGCTCGACGGTCCCCCCCTGAGCCCGACCCCCCCGAAACATGCGATGCCTTGATTTTGTCCACTGTGGGGTCCCCAGAATCTCTGACCCTTTCCGTCCCAGGGGCGGCGTCCTACCCTCCTTCCCTTCCTCCTCCTCCTCCTCCTCCTCCTCCTCCTCCTCCCCGTAGCCATTTTGGCTCAAGATGGCGACCTGGGGGGCTGTCCAGCCTCCAGGCCGAAGGGATACCTCTGGACCGAGGACAGTTCCCAGACGGGCGTCGGGCGCGCGCGCGGCACTGCTGCAGCCATGGGGAGTGGCGGCGGTGGACGCGGGGCGGGCAGCGCCTGGTCGGGGACCCCGAATCGCCAGAGAGTGCCCCCGTGGAAGAGGAGCAGCAGTGGCAGTCGCCCTCCTCGCAGCAGCTACGTGGTGTGTGACGGGTGCAGCAGATGGCGCTACTGCAAGAACATCACCAGCAGGGGCGACCTCTGCATCTGCGGCAAGAATCTCGCCTGCCTCGTCCCTGACGGACACGTTTTCCGTGACGAGGATGGTGGGTGGGTGGCAGCACAGCCCCAAGGAGGAACCTCGCCCAGGATCAGCTGGGCAGATGGTTGGCAGCCAGGAGGTGGTGCAGGCGGGAAAGGGCAAGGAGGCCAACGCCAGCCACCACCCCACGACAAGACCGCCGATCTCAAGGCCGCAGCCGCAGCAGCATACGGCAAGCTCAGCAAGGACGACCCGCTCAAGCAGCACTACGAGGCCCTCTGGCCAGAGCTCGCCGCAGCCAAGCCACCAGCAGATCAACCAGTCGTTGGATTCAAGGCAGTGGAGGCAGCAGCTCGACGCTTGGACAAACTCCAGAAGAAGGTACGATCGGCAGGGGAGCAAGTGGAGAGTGCCCAGCAGTACTTGGCTGAGAGTGAACGCAAGCTTCGTGAAGCTATGGAAGCATCCATTGCAGCAGAAGGTGAGTTCGACAAGCTCAAGGCCACAGTCGGCAAGCAAGAGGTACCAGCCGAACCCGCAGCCGAGAAGCCAACGCTGGCAGCCCTCCTGGAGCAGTTCGAGCACGAGCCTGACGACTTCCACAAGTGGTCCGAGCCAGACAAGGAGGTCTGGCGAGCTGCAAAGGCCAAGGGCGAGCGCATGGCCCAGACGGTCAAGGAGCACGAGGAGGAGACGGCGAAGCACCTGCGACTTCTGGAGGAAGAGACGGCCAGGCACCAGGAGCAGCTGCGCCAGCTCGAGCAGGCCCGCACCGAGCGCCTGTCAAAGAGCGGAGAGCAAGACCCAGAAGCAGCAGATGCCCCGCCAGGCAAGCGTGTCTGCGCTGCCAGCCCAGCCCCTCAGCGAGGAGCCACCACAGGCGCTGAGGCAGCAGGGTCAGCTGCTGCGGCTGCGCCTAACGGCGCCGCGGCAGCTGCCCAACCAGAAGCAGGTGCAGCAGAACATGACAAAGCAGAGGAACGCCGAGCCAGAGTGGATGCCCACATCCAGGAGGCGCGAGAGAAGGTCTCGCAGGCCAGGCGCGCCGAGACAGTCGTCGACGCAGAAGGGCAAGGTGACCACTCAGCAGGGTAGCCGCCCCAAGGCGAGCGCGAAGAAGGCTCGCCGCCCTTGCCACATCGACTTCTTCAATGTCACGACCTGGGGCCCCCGGGCACAGGGCTACCTCATGGAGATCAACGACGCCAAGGACAGGGGCATCATCGGCATCGCGGAGCACCACCTCCGCCAGCCTGCGCAGATAGGCAAGGCAAGAGCGGCGCTCAGGAGGAATGGCATGCACAGCTACTGGACCAAGGCACGGCCAGGAGAAGGAGAAGGCACTCGTGGAGGAACGTGTGCCATTACGCGAGGATCCTTGGACGTCCAGGACAGGATCGCGGGCTTCGACGAGCACTACCTGCACGAGGACGGCAGCGACGCCACGGTGGTGATCTCCAACCTGCACAAGGTCCGCTTCGCAGTGGCCTTCGTCTTCCTCGAGTGTGGGACGGGCTTCGGAGAGAGGAACGTCAGCATCCTCTGCGACCTGCGGGAAAAGATGGCCGTCTGGGGAGGGCCATGGGCAGCGCTTGGGGATTTCAACATGACGCCGTCGGAGTTCAACAACAGCATCTGGCCCAGGGTGCTGAATGCTCAAGTAGCAGCGGCGGAGGATGGCGCCCCCACGTGCTTCCCAGCAGGAGGCGAAGCCAGGTGCATCGATTTCGCTGATCTCGCAGGGCCTGGCGCCGTATTTTGACCAGCTAGAGCTGCTCAGGACCGTGCCGTGGAAGCCGCACATTGGCATCCGCTTGAAGCTGAGAGGGCGGCCTCTAAAGCTCAATGGCAGGGTACTTCGCAGGCCAGCAGCCATAAAGCCACCAGTCGCAGTTGAGAGAATGCCGAAGTCCAGAGCCGCTTGCAGGCGAGCGGCGCGAGGAGGCCAGGAGGCCATGCGCCGACGTCAGCAAGCGTTGGCAGAGGCAGGATGCGACCAGGAAGGAAACGTCATGGAGCCAGTGCCGCAGCTGCACTACGACAAGGAGGTCCAGCACGTCATCCCTGACGAGCTGTGGCAGGCCACCTCCGAGAGGGTCAGCTTGCGTGTCTACGACGAGTTGCCCCAGCACTTGCAGCACACTGTCGTCGGCAAGATGATGGAGCAGGACATGCTGGATCTGGGGCAACAGTACGACCACTTCGCTAGCACACTCGAGCTCAGCCTGTGCGAGAGCATCGGCATCCCAGAGGAAGATCGAGGACGTCATCTCGGGCACAGCAGGCCCCCGAGCTACAAGAGCGTGAGCATCAAGGACACCGTCACCTCTACGCCATGGGCAGGGGTTGAAAGGAAGATCCATGCGTGGTGGGCGGAGATCTCCTCATTGGTGCGGCAGCTCTCGCACCACGACGCCCGAGCGCAGGAGGCAGCGGCAAGTCGACAGGGCAAGACCCAAGCACGTCCCGATGAGGACTCGGGAGGAGGACAGGGCCCGTTGGAGTTGGAGCTTGGCCCCGTCATTTCGGGCAGCCAGGAAGGCCACGAAGAAGGCGACCCTGCACCAGCCTTGAGCCCATCGAAGAGCTCGGGAGGAAGCTCGGTGGAACGCTCCCCCACCGAGCGGGGCAAGGGCCCCCCCGAGCTGCAGCAGCGGAGCGCAGGCAGTGGAGGCGCAGCAGGAGGCGCCCCAGACCTCCACGTGGGGCATACCCACAGCACCGCAGACAGCTGCCCAGAAGGGATGCAGAGGGGTGCCCTTCCCCCACCAGCAGGGCGCAACACCATGGACATCCAAGATCACGACCCCTTCGAGGATGAGGAGGAGTACTTGGAGTACCGCCAGGAGATCGCAGACCAGGAAAACAGCGATGGGTACCACCAATACATCGAGGGGCAGCAGGCCAGCCTCGAGTCCAGCCAGACCGCTCGCCGTCGAGCAGCTGGACCTGATTCTCACCCACCAGCAGGACGCAGCACCATGGACGTCCAAGACCACGACCCCTTCGAGGAAGAGGAGGACCGCTTCCAGAACCGCCAGGAGACCGCAGACCAGGAGGACTGCGATGGGTACCACCAGCGTATCGAGGGGCAGCTGGATGGCAACGGCTACGGCCAGACCGCACGTCGTCAGGCAGCTGGATCTGGTGAAACCGCCCCAGGTGACACGCACTGCTCACCTCCTCAGCCAGCTGGCACTCTGGAGGCAGAGGGTACCGATCACCTGAGGAGTCAGAACCAAGCGCCGCCAAGCCCAGAGGCAGATGAGCAACGAGATATGGGCCTGCCCCCTACAGACCCCTGGAATGACGACCAACACCAGCGGGAGCGGGAAGACTACGTGGCCATGAGAGACGACCTGGAGTACTGGGCGGCCATCTGGATGGATAACTTGGTGCAGCTCCCCACGGACAACAGCAACTGGATGCAGATCTGCGTGCCGTTCCTGGAGACCATCCTGGGAGGCGGAGGCAACAATGACATGGTGAGACTGCCCAGACGTTGGTACCAGCAGGCCGGCCTCAGCCACATCATCAGGGACCTCTGCGAGCGAGCATGGAGACATGCAGAACCACGACGCCGAGGCTTTCTCCAAGGACTTGCGCGAGAGGTGCCGACGAGGAGGCACGAATTGGAAATGATGCACTGGAGGGGGCTCGCAAACCTGCGGAGGTTCATGCGAGAAGTCATAGGCGAAATAGCACCAGAAGGAGCAGCGCGAAGACAACTACATGATGCTCCAGGTACAGGCAGTGGCCAGAGTAGCCGCCGAGAGCAGCAGGTCCGCACCCACAGTGGCCGCCAGACGCAGCAGCAGATCAACACAAGACAGCAGCTTGCGCAGCAGCTCAACCAGCCTGACCCAGGCAGGCTGAACGATGAAGGTGCAGCCAAGGACCAGCAGCAGGCCCTCCTCGCAGACCTGCACGCCGTAGCAGAGGGCGCCCTCGTGGACCCAGGGACGATCAGCAGGGTAGCAGAGGAGGCAAAGAGCATGGCCAAGCTACTCACAAAGGCGGTGAAGAAGGCGTACATCCACTGGGTGCACGACGCCACGGCTGGCAGTGCGAAGATGGCCCACGCCTACACCAAAGCAGCGGAGCGCAGCCATCTGGAGGACATCCTAGAGCACGAGGGCCAGGTCATCAACCACCCGCAGCAGCTGGTGGACTTGCGCAAAGAAGCATGGCAACGCAGGTGGACACGAGATGCGCAGAAGGCCGAGAGGATCCAAGAGGCGCTGGCCAAGCTGAGGCAGGCTGCCCTGGCCCAAGAGAATGCCCTCGAGCCCATCAGCAAGGACATCATAGGCTCCATCATCCAGCACCTGAAGAGCAATGCAGGCCAAGGAGCGGACTGGTGGAGGGCTCCAGAGCTCAAGGCCATGGGAGCCCAGGGGCTGGAAGATTTCGTGCAGTGCCTGACCAGCTGTGAGCAACGGGCAGCCTGGCCGTGGCAATTCTACCTGGTGCTGGAGCTGCTGCTGGGTAAGAAGCCAGGAATCGGGGGAGAGCGCCCCATCGGCCTCATGCCCATGCCGTACCGCATCTGGAGCGCAGCCAGGAGGCCCATAGTAGCCACCTGGAGCAAGGCAGCGGCGGGCTTCTGGGATACGGCAGTAGCTGGCTCCTCAGCGCTACGAGTGGCAATGCACAGACTTATGAGGGCAGAAGCCGCCACGGAGATGGGCTTTCATGCAGCAGGAGTGTTCTACGACGCGGCAAACTTCTACGACAACATAGGCCTCGACCAGCTGATCGAGAAGGCCAGTGCCCTCCAGTACCCGTTGCTGCCGCTGGCAATGGCCGTGCAGATGTACCTTGCGCCCAGGGCCATCATGGCCCACAGCCTCTTCTCGGACATCTTTGAGCCTGCCAACAGCATGGTAGCAGGCTGTGGCCAAGCGGTAGACCTCACCAGACCGCTCTTGTATGGAATCCTGGATGCAGCGCACAGGCACCATATCTTCGTCGTCATGCAGCAGTACCTGGACGACTTGGCCCTGCAGGTAGAGGGCGCGCGGCGGCAGGTCATTGACCAGATCAAGCACGTGGCGGCGCTGGTGCACGATGGTTTCAAGCAGCTCGCGATTCCCATCTCAGTCAAGGCGGCAGTGGTGGCCTCGGACAAGGACCTCCAGGCAGAAGTCGCCAGCATCCTGGACAGCCTGGGCACCCCCAACAAGCAGCCAGGGGTAGTGCGCGACCTCGGCGTGGACACCAGCCTTGGGAAGCAGCTGCGGCGACCCACCCATGCCGCGCGCCAGGCCAAGGCCAAGCAGAGGGTGGCCAAGCTCAGGGACCTGGCGAAGACGGACGCCAGAGGCGCGGCAAAGGTCTATGCAGCAGGTGCCTACTGCCAGCAGGCTTGGGACTTACCAGCGCACGGCATCACGCCCACGGAGGCGAAGTTGGTCAGGGCAACGGAGGCAGCGCTCCTCACAGGCGGACACAAGGCTGGACGCTGCACGTCCACCATCCTCCTGATCCAGAGGGGTATGCAAGAGGCAGTAACCCGAGCCATCGGCGACCAGATCAAGCAGTTCTGGCTCACCGTAGTCGACCACCCGACGGAGCTCAAGAGGTACCAGAGGGGCTGGCTCCTGCTCTACGCCAAGCTGGGCGCCCTGGAGCCCAACCGCAGGTGGCAGCAAGTCAAGGGGCCCATGGCAGGGGTCATTGTGCAGTTGCTTGGGTTAGGCTGGATACCGCGACGCCTGGACAGCTGGATCAGCCCAGCAGGTGACGAGTGGGCCTACAAGCCAGATGACATTCCCCACTTCGGCGCGCTCCTGCATGAGGTCCAGCAGAGCGCGCAGCAGCAGCTCTGGCAGCAGGCAGCTGGCCATCGCAGTGGAGAAGGACTTCAGGCTGGAGGCGACCTCTATCAGCTGCGGCGCCACCTGAGAAGAAGGAGGCGTAAAGGACAGCATGCAGAGGCATCAATGCTGGAGACCATGGAGGTGGCAGGCATCTGGACCAGGGAGCGTCGCAGGGCGGCCAACCTCAACCAAGAAGGCGATGACACCTGCGCGAGATGCGGCGAGGCGATAGAGACAGAGGAACACCGCTACTAAGCCTGCCCTGCCAACGCAGAAATAGGGCACAGCAATGACACCGACCTGGCGAAGAAGGCGAAGGACGCGCTGGACCAGCGGCAGGACCTGCATTTCTGGCTCCGAGGCATCCCGCCAGCGGCCTGGGCAGCCAAGGTCGACCCAGACGAGGACGCGGCGAAGGCGGCGCAGATCTTCTGCACCAGTGAAGGGGCACAAGTTGCAGCCCAGTCAGGGCACAAGGTGCGAGCAGACTATGTTTTTACGGACGGCTCAGGTGGTGCAGGGGAAACGGCCAGGGACCCCCGCCTCAGACGTTGCGGCTGGGCAGTGGTGGCATTCAGGTTCGACGAACAAGGGCGCCCGCAGGAAGTGGCTGCCTGGTACGGCACAATCAGGGCACCGCACACGGTGCCACGGGCAGAGCTCACCGCCATGAGCAAAGCCATCGGGCACACCACGGCGGCGACAGCCAGGGGGCTAAACATAGTCAGCGATTGCAAATACGCCCTGGACGCACTCAAGCAGATCCAGGACCCTGAGGATCTGGACTGCAGGAGCACGAACTACGACCTCTGGCTCCAGACGAAGCAGCAGCTACAGAACAGCACGGACACCATCATGGGCCACCACATCCCGAGCCACCTTATTGAGCGCCCAACCGAGCTGGAGAGGTGGAATGGTCCCACCTGGTGGGTCATAGGTAACGAGATGGCAGATAAGTGCGCAGGCTGGGGGGCGGAGCACGGAGCACTGGATCCAGCTATCATCGTGCAGCAGCAGATCAGAGACCAGATCACCATGGCGGTGCAGAACAGGCTGCTGGCCATCAACATGGCGGTGACGGTGGAGGACCCCAACAAGGCCCCTCAGCGTCCCAAGGCCAAGCGGCGAAAGCCGCAGACGGCGAGGGACAGGGCAGCCCAGCAGGGACACGACTTGCGAAAACTACATCCGCGATGGTGGTGTGCAACGTGCCGCAGTGGCCCAGCCAAAGGACAAAGCATCAGAGACTGGTTGGCAGAGACGGGAAAATGCCTCGGGAAGTACGGCGGCCACCAGGACCAGCACGGCAACGTCAGGCTCGACTTCAAGGCGGTGCAGATCGGCACGCAGGTGGTGCACGGCTCCCACAAGACGCAGTACACCCATGGCTGGTTCTGGTGCGAGAAATGTGGCGGCACCAGCTACCTTGGGGACCACAAGAGCAGGATCGTGGCAGGAGTGGCAAGGAAGCTGGCAAGGCCATGCCAGCCCCCAACAGCAGCAGGGCGGCGAGTCCTGGAGGACATGCAGAGGGGCAAGCTGCCTAGAGGAGCTAAGCCAGCAGCAGACCCAGCTGATGAGGGTCTCGACGAGATCACCATGCCAGGTGGCTTCAAGCTCGGCCTGAGCAACCACGAGGTGATCGATCTGGACGGGGGCAGCTCAGAGGCAGGGGGCCCGCAGCCAGCTCCGCAGCAGCCACCAAGCCATCCGTACTCTGTCGTCCACGCCAGCTTGAGGCTCGTCGACCACATGGAGGGCTACGCAGAGCTGTGGATGAACATGGTCGACCAAGAGGTCTGGGACGACATGGGCGACTGGATGGAGCACTGTGTACCGTACCTCTTGGCCATCACCAATGTGGGTGGCAGAACGGACACGCAAGAGCAGACCAGGGCCGTCACCGTGCAGGAGATCCAGCAGATAAAGGACTTCTGCGAAGAAGTCTGGCGCAACACGCACCGCACGCGACGGAGGCTCATGACCAGGATGCTTACCCTCCCGCATGGCACATGGCAGCAGGCAGCTAGAGTGCACATGGACGCCTTCCACAACAGAAGGAACAACATCATAGCGCACAGCATCCCCAGCAGTGAGCGCAGGCCGCTGCCGAGAACAGCGGAGGCCAGCCGAGAGTGGTCACCAGAGAACCTGGACGATGATGACTCGACCCCAGACAGTGAAGCCCCAGAGCTGGAGGGTGAGCCGAGCAGCCAGGAGATGGAGACCATGGCGGGACCTGATCAGAGGCACGACGCCAACAGCCTGATGCAGACGGCAGTGCAGGTGGCAGTAACGCTGACCAAGCCAGTGGGGCCCGACCTGATGAAGTTCGTGAGCGAAGCTGACGAGGCCGGCTTGCTCCACCCAAGGCTTCGACACAACAAAGGAGAAGCCGACCAGGACCCCGAGCAGGAGGTGGCGTGGCTCGAGAGGAACAGGCTCGAGCAGCTCATGCAGTCGCTGGCAGGCTGTTGGAGCCAGAAAGAGGGCGAGCTGGGCTGGCCATCGTGGCAGGCCGCGTGCGTGCCCCATGTGATGAGGGCGCTGCAGACTGGCGTCTATCAGGGGCTTTTCAGCCACGTGTCAGGGACGAGCCGCCAGCGCAGCCAGCGCCGAGCGGCGGAGGAGATCTGCCGCCTGGCATGGCTCAACAGCGGAGAGGAGCGCAGACAGATCCAGCAGCAGGACCCGAAGGAGGCAGAGCGGCGCAGAGCAACGGCTGAGCAGATCCTGGGCGTGACTGAGCCAGAGGTGAGGAGCCGCTGCCCGCGACCGCAAGCAGCAGGGCGAGTACCAAGCAGGGCTCCAGCCACACAGCCGAGGAGGCCCCTGTGCGGAGAGGGGACAGGCCACCAAGGACCCCTGCGCGGCGAGGGGTTAGGCCGAGGAGGACCCCAGCGTGGCGAGGGGTTAGGCCACAGCCCTGCGCCAGACGGGATGCAGCGGGGTGCCCGTCCCCCACCAGCAGGACGCAGCACCAAGGACATGGCAGACCTCGACCACTTCCCTGAAGAGGAGAACAGGGAGGACAGCCACCAGCAGGTCGTAGACAAGCAATGCAGCGATGACAACCACCAGCAGTTCCCAGATGCACAGCACAGCATAGGGTACCACCTGGCAGACCGCAGAGGACCCCAGCGTGGCGAGGGGTTAGGCCACGGAGGACCCCAGCGCGGAGAGGGGTTAGACCGCAGATCCAAAGACAAGCAGAGGATCGAGGCGGAGGTCCCTGACGAGCCCAGTGAGCATGACGCGGACGTCTTGACCAACAGTGTGGTAGACAGGACCTCGCAACTAACAGAGCGGACCCATACCCTGGGAAACCGACAGACTGAACGCGAGGGGGAGGGCTTGGCCCGCGGATACCACGTGAACCGCGAACACAGCGAGAGGCATAGTCGGGGGACCTCGCCTGAGCCAGCGTGCAGCAGCACCGAGGATGGGGACAGTACGAGACTCGGCGCTCCCCCGCGTGGCGAGGGGTTAGGCCACAAAACAGCGCAGCCTGAGAAGGCGGCAGACTACGACGTTACAGACCTGCAGCGGGACTTGAATAAGATCGTCGGCGACCCACCCCAGCGCGGTGAGGGGGTAGACCGCAAGGCACCCCTGCGCGGCGAGGGGTTAGGCCACGGAAATCACCTGCGCGATGAGGGGGCAGGCCGCAGGACCAAAGGCAAGCAGAGGCTTGAGGCGGAAGCCTATGACGTGCCCAGTGAGCAAAACGCGTACCTTTTGACCAACAGTGTGGTAGACAGGACCTCGCAACTAACAGAGCGGACCCAAACCCTGGGAAACCGACAGTCTGAACGCGAGGGGGAGGGCGCGGCCCGCGGATACCACGTGAACCGCGAACACAGCGAGTGGCAAAGTCGCGGGACCCCGCCCGAGCCAGGGGGCAGCAGCACCGAGGATGGGGACAGTGCAAGACGCGGCGTACTCCCGCGCGGTGAGGGGTTAGACCGCAGCAGACCCCAGCGCGGCGAGGGGTTAGGCCACGAATCACCCCAGCGCGGTGAGGGGTTAGACCGCAGCAGCCCCCAGCGTGGCGAGGGGTTAGGCCACGGAGGACCCCGCAGTGGAGAGGGGACAGACAGCAGCAGGCCCCCGCGTGGCGATGGGGTTAGGCCACAAGGGACCCCAGCGCGGTGAGGGGTTAGACCGCAACAGGCCCCTGCGCGGCGAGGGGTTAGGCCACGAATCACCCCAGCGCGGTGAGGGGTTAGACCGCAGCAGCCCCCAGCGTGGCGAGGGGTTAGGCCACGACATTCCCCAGCGCGGTGAGGGGTTAGACCGCATTGACCCCCAGTGTGGCGAGGGGTCAAGCCACGATGGGCCCCAGCGCGGTGAGGGGTTAGACCGCAACAGACCCCAGCGTGGCGAGGGGTCAGGCCACCACGGAGCACCCCAGCGCGGTGAGGGGTTAGACCGCATCAGGCCCCTGCGTGGCGAGGGGTTAGGCCACGGAGCGCCCCAGCGCGGTGAGAGGTTAGACCGCAGCAGCCCCCAGCGTGGCGAGGGGTTAGGCCACGAGTATCCCCAGCGCGGTGAGGGGTTAGACCGCGCCGACCCCCAGCGTGGCGAGGGGTTAGGCCACGGAGGGCCCCTGCGCGGCGAGGGGTTAGGCCGCAACGCGCCCCAGCGTGGCGAGGGGTTATGCCACAGCTCTGCGCCAGGCAGGGCGATCGAGAAGGCCCATGAGTCCAGGGACCAGCAGCCAGGGCGGTCCCTGGAAGAGCGCAGAGCGGAGGAGCGGCTGCGGCCGTCCACCAGGCTGCTCCTCAAGCTCTGAGTGGGCAGCGGCAGCACTTCTTCAGACTGCCGCTGCTCACGGGGCGACTCCATGGGTCACAGAGTGGCGGCAGTAAGACGCCGTGAGATGAGGCCGCTGGCCCACCCCGCCTCGGGCCTTTCTGCCTGCGCGGAGTGACGAGACCAGGGGCGCCCACTCGCGGGCGGGAACACGCGGGTTTAAAACTCCTCCTCCTCCTCCTCCTCCTCTTCCGTAGCCATTTTGGCTCAAGTCTGGGTGAAAGCTACGGTGTAGCGAGATTCCAGACTGAGGGCCAAAGTGGTCCTCATATGCATTTTGCCCTCGAGCTGCCTTGTTTCCTGCTCCCGAGGCCAAGTCATCGGCCGCCCGCAGGACAGCTCCGTTTAGGCATCTTCCGAATCAGTGCTGCCGCTCCACGGCGATGGCGTCGGACGATGAGGTGATGTGCCCAACGCCTGTGGCCGAGGAAGATGGTTCAGTCCCGAAGCGCGGGCGTACTGGCGATGCTGACTGGCTACGAGAGATGCTGGGTGACATTCGCCCGAACATGGCCACAACAGATGGCGTCACAGAGGTGAAAAGAACCATTCATGAGCACGAGGTGAAGATTGACGGATTGACTGCTCGAATGAAGGCGATAGAGGACAAAACTAATTCCAGCATGGAGGCTGCGCAATCTGCTGCAGCCGCCGTCATGACTGAAGCTGTTGACAGCCAGCTGAAGGACATGAAGGCTCACAATCTCAAGATGCAGGCCGAGCTTGCTGCTCTGTCTTCGCGTACCCCATCGACCAGGTCGAATGCATCGGCTGCATCTCAAGAGACTGAGAAGGAGAGGGACAACCGCAAGATCTGGATCGCTGGATTCCCGAGGCCGCTGCCAGCCAAGGTCATGACTGCCCATGCCACACAGCTCATCCAGCAGCACGCCCCCAATGGCATCAAGGCGATGCCCAAGTCGCACAATTTCCAAACGGCATACAGTATCATCTTTGAGTCGAACGAGGCGGCCAAGGACTTCTTGATGCGTGCGCGGACCCTGGGCGTGAAGTGGCGCGACCCTCGCACCAACACGGACTGTGACCTGAAGATCCGCATGGACGCACTGCCCGCCATTCCTAAAGTCAGCCGTATCCTCGGCGTCCTCTGGTCCAAGGTTATGGAGACAGCCAAAGCCAATAACAAATGGAGTACTTCTTATACGCTGGGCTCGCAAGGATTTCGTGGTTCGTTATGGCTGATCTCTCATGATGACACAGAAAATCTTTTCCAGGTGAAAGGCGTAGAGTCGATGCAGCTGGACGTCATTCCCAACGTCGTGGCATTGAAGAAGCTCGGCTTCACTGACGCCACCATCAACAGCACTGTGGAGAACATCCTGATCTAGGGGATCGCCCTGCCAAGCCAGCAGCGCATGAAGACCAACCTGCATGATATACCACTGGGGATCCTCGCCTCTCATGTGGATAGTGATTTGACTGGTTCGGGTGTCCCGTTCTGCGTGGGCGCTTGCAGCGTGCATTCCACACTTGAGCAAGCGGCAGACAGCGACGACCAGCAGCACGCCACACCGCCACCTACGAAGAGAATTCGGTCTTCAGGCAGAATTGCAACTTCAGCGAGAAGAGCAAGAGCCTCTTCCTCGTCGTCCAGCTCGTCTGGGGCGTCCAGTCCTGATGGGTCTTCTGCGCGTTCGGCACCTTCGGCAAGCTCAACGTCCTCATCCTCCAGCTCTTCTTCGTCGTTTACGGTTGACTGGCCTGCTTTGCCGATGCGATGCAGTCCTTTCTTGCCGTACAAGCGTTTTTCAGTTGTGTCTTGGAATGCTCGTTCGCTCTTCGGCGCACTGTACGCCCCGCAGCACGCCCGCCGCGCAAAGATCAGGCAGCTTATCAATATGATTCAGAATCATGATGTAGTATGTATTCAAGAGGCTCGCGGGACGTACGAGTGTTTCCGTGCCCTGGAGCGTGAGGTATATCAGCTCTCTGGCTTCTCGACCTTTCTCTGTAACCCTCACTCTGGTGGTAGTCTTATGTATGTTCATCCTCGGGTACGCAGCACGTTTACACATGCGCAACATCGTGTCATTGCACAAGGGCGTATACGCACTGTTGTTCTTCATAACGACCAGCATGCTATCCAGATTGTTAACGTGCATAGTGATCCTGGTCTCCGTGTGCGTGAACGCAAGCGTCAGCTAGTGCAGATTCGTGATGCCCTTCGGCCTCGAGCGCAGTGCTCTGTCTTTCTTTGTGGCGACTTTAACTTCCCTGCGCAGGGCGAGGGCAGCTTCCAAGTGTCGGGGAGGCTCGTTCACCCCACCCACAGCCTCGCCAAGCTGTTTGATCGGCTCTTTGCACACATGGTCGAGGTTGAACAGCCGCAGTTCACGCGTCGTGTCGAAGGGTACGACGAAGGGCGCAAAGTGGTCCTCTCGCTCGGGCGCCTCGACAGGATCTACACTTCGATCCCTGCTAGCATGATCCTGGACCTTTCCCCGAGCTCTGGAACGATTGGCTGTGCAGCAGACCTCGCCACACCCTCTGATCACGTGCCTGTTTTCTTGGCCCTGGCGCCCCCCAGCCTCAGTGGGACCTCGAAAGTGCAGCCCTGGGTCTCCAAGCACAAAATGTTCCCCGATGTGTTCAATGAGGTTTTGCAAGGGGGAGGTGATCTTGATGATGATCCTATACAGCGGGTGGAGGAGGTACGCAACGCAATACAGGTAGCAGCTAAACTACTACTAGCCAAGCTTGAGCAGACGGGCGCCAGCTCGTTGCCTGAGTACATCTCCTGGTCTCTTGCTGCTATGAGAGCCGAGAGAGCCAAGGCCCCAGGTGTGCTACGTAGGGCTGTGAAGGCCTACCCGATGCTCCAGCGGTTTTTCAATGTCGAGCTCTGCGCTTACTCGAATCTTGTGGGCTTCCACACGTTCTTAGCGAATCTAAAGCGACAGCAGATAGATGAGCAGATTGAAGAAATTCAGAAAGACATGAACATCCCCTCGGCCCCAAAGAAATCCACTATGAACAAGCTTTACACCTTCAGATCGGCGTGGAAGGGGCGTGGTGCCCAGATCTCGTTGCAAGCTATAGCCGACCCGCTCGGTCCCCCCATCTTCGACCCAGTCGCTGGCGCTCGAGAGCTCGCTCGCCACTGGGGAGCTGTGCACTCTGCTGTTGCCATTCAGCCTGCTGCGCTTAATGATTTGCTCGTGCACGTACAGAGAGTTCCTCAAGTAGTTATCTGGAGGTTGGAGGAGGCGGAGTTTTTTGACGTGATGAAGAGACCGCGCGACAGCGCCCCGGGGCCGGATGGGATACCATGCTCGGGCTGGTGTCGAGCGGGGGAGGAAGGAGGACGGGCCTTATTCAATCTGTACGAGCACATCCTTGATGTTGGCGACTGTCACCCAGTGTTTAATTACGGCCACAACATTTTCCTGGCCAAAGGCGATGATGAACATGATTCCTCGCTCTGTATGCGCGCGCCTTCAGTTACGAGGCCGCTGACTATGTCGTGCACCTCGAATAAGCTTGTCTCGCTTGCCCTGAACAGGCCGCTGGCTGCCATCCGCAGATGCTCATGCATTAAGGAACAGAGAGGCTTCGTGGGAGAGAGGAATATGAACGAGAACATTCTCGAGCTCGAATATCGTGCGATGCACTGGTACGTCCAGCGTCTTGTCTCGGCGTGCGGCATCGTGCTGTATGATGTGCGCGCGGCCTTCCCGAGCTTGCTGCACGAAGCTATGTTTGCCACTCTGCGTGCCATGGGGGTGCCAGGCTATTTCGTTCGTGCAGTTCAATGCCTCTACACCAATGTTTGGATTGCTATTTCGTATCGGGGAATGCACCAGGATGTAGGCTACTGGCTCTCCCGCGGCATCAAACAGGGATGCGCTGTTAGTGGTTCGCTGTTCGCACTCGCCGTCGACCCCGTGCTGCGGATGATTTGCCTCCTGCTTCCACGACCGCTCCACAGCCTGGGGGCCTTCGCTGATGATGTGGGGATTAGCTCGGGGGCCATTGTCGAGGCGTTCGTTTCCAGCATGTCGGTGTGGGACCTCGCTGGGCCTGGTATGGGCCTGTGCATCAACGTTGGGAAAACGGTGATCGTCCTTCCGGGGATCTCGGAGGCAGGTTTTCTTGCAGCACTTGGGGCGCGCGGGTTTCAGGCCGATGCTATGAGCCTTCAGTTGCTCCCCCGTGGGCGATATCCTGGCATACGGCTGGGACCCGATAGTGTGTTCGATTCCTGGGAGCCTGCCCTTGAGAAGTACGTCCAGAGGATCCAGATGATTCGAGGCCTCGAGTTGGGCCTCGCGAAAACTGTGGCACAGTATAACATGCTCGCGTTTTCTGTGCTCACGTTCATCGGCCAGTTTTTGGAGCCCACGAACCGTTGCCTGAGCCTGGAGCGCGCTGGCCTGCAGAAGCTCACTGTCGGGCCGAACAATGCTATCACGGCCTCGATGATGCAGGGCCTGACACAGCTGGGCTTCCCCTGGGCGCCAGATCGCTGGAGCGCACATGCCGTGCCGCCAGATACCGTGCTGCTTACTACTCCCCCGCCTTCCACGAAATCCGAAGGATGCTAGAATAATTCTCAGAAGATGATGAGTGTGTAATGAATTGGCGTATGCACCCCTGGTGGAAAAGCAGCATCTTGCGGTCGATGATCGAGAATTTCGAATTCCTGACCAGTATCCCAAACGTGCCGAGGGATGAGGTGCCGCTTCAGAAAAAGACGGAGCTCTTTCTGCGTGAACTCTTCCCTCGTTCTGTGAAGCCCCAGCTGCTGAGCCGCCTGCGCAAAAATGACCCCCGCCTGTGCTACAGTGATCTGGATCTTGTTTTCCTGGCCTTCAGGAGGGCCGCCCCTCTCGTTCCGCCCTCGGTCCTCGCCTCGCTTCTGAAAACTGTGTGTAATGCCTGGTGCACCTCGGGGCGTTTTCGGAATGCCACCAAGGATTGCCCGTTTTGCGGCCTACGTGCTGCTGACGCCCTCAAACATGTGATTGAATGCCCGAGGCTCGACATCATTGGGATTTTCCTGCCAGAGCTCCCTTCTGCGTTTTGCCTTGCCCCTGGTGCCACACCAGAATTTCAGATTTATAGATTCTTTCCTCTTGACAATCGTGCTCTGTTGTCCATCGTGTTGTATATTGATGCCTGTTTTCGTTGTTATCATACCTGTCGCCTTCGTCCCGCGTCGCCCGTCGCCGCGGCAGGGGCCCGTTTTCAGCAGGTCTGCAGGCAGAGGTCAGACCTGTCCGCGCTGCTCGGCGCGGCCCCGCAGGCGCCGCCGCGCGCCGCCGCGTCGACGACGTCTTGCCCTTGTCTCGCCTCTTGTCCGCCTGCCCTCTTCTCGTCCCTCTCTTTTGGCCAGCGCGCTCCTCCTCCATTATCCTCCTCCTCCTCCTCCTCCATTATCCTCCTCCCCCTCCTCCTCCTCCTCCTCCTCCTCCTCCTCCTCCTCTTCCGCCCTTCCCATCCGCCCGTTCCCCCGGCCAGCCGGCTGGAGCCGGCTGGCTCTTCATCCTGAGTCGTTTCTAGACAGTCTTGGGGCCCTGCGAGGGTCCCTGGAGGCCGAAAACGGCCAACAACCTTCCGCCGCGTTTTGTTCCACGACGCGAGCATTCGGCGGCGAGCGAGGAGGGGAAATGAGAAGGAAACGAGCCTTCTCAGAAGGCGCGGGACTTTAAGACGCCCTCGTGCCTTTTGAGAAGTGCTTTGTGTCTCCGGGGGAGGCTGAGAACCCCCCCTCCTGACCTGGCCCGGTGTGTCCGACGCTGTGCCCGAGTCTCTGCCCTGGTGTGACCGGAGCTTGCGCCCGAACATCTCCGACCGCGCCCGGGCGTGACCGAACCGTTTGGCTTAAAGCCAAGACGACCTTCCATTTCGGCCACATGGTCGGTCACACGACGTCTTCGGTCACAATTTCGGGCGCGTGTTCGGTCGCCGATGTTTGTTCGGTGACCTGCCTTTTCGGTTGCCCGCCCCTTCTCACTTCCCTTCCCTGAGGAGGCTCGCCCCTTCTCTCGACTACCTACACGTAAGAGTGACCCTTTGCCGGAGGTGCGCGCCTATTGGGGCCCCCCGATCGTCTCGTGCGGTGCGATGGCAGCGTCTCGCGCGCTTGTGCTTGGTCCCCCCGCCGCGGCCCTCCAAAGACCGCGCACCGAAGGTCACTTTTTACTACCCAGGGCCACTCCTGCGTGCAGCCGCTTCTCGCTTCCCCCCCGCGCTCGCCGCCAAAGCATGTCTCTACGCTTGTGGACGACAATCAACAGAGAGGAAGCATGTTTCCAAATACTTTCCAGATGTCTACAACATGTTTGAAACATGTCTTGAACGTGTAAAAACATGTTTGAACACATTGTAGGACATGCTTCAAACATCTTAAACACATCTTAAACTCAATGATCGGATTGTTAGAGTGTCCAATAACATAACGTCCACAACTCAAGGTCTCCTGGATGGGGTCGGGGTGGATGGGGTCGGAGGATCGCGCCGCATCGCCGCCGCGTCGGTGATGCATCGGCGATGCGGCTCGATGTGGGGCCCCATTTTCTCCACGCCGACGTCGCGGATGTGTCGCCGACGTCGCCAGTGCATGGCCGATACATCGCCGTTGCATCGGCGATGCATCGCGATCTTCCGACCCCCTCTTCTCCGACCCCATCGAGGGGGCCTGTTCTGGCCGGGCCCCCATCGCTCCCCCACGCAGGCTCAGCTGGAGCGCCTCCGCGCCGCCTTCCAGCCGCCCGTCCGGCGCCAGGCCGCCCCGGCCGAGGACTCGGACGACGCCGCGGAGGCGGAGGCGGCGGGCGGCGCGGCGGCGGCGCCGCCGGCGCTGGACTTCTCGCTGGACGGGTGCGACTGAGGGCGCCGCGGCCCGAGAGCCTCGGGGGGACGCAGCGGGGCCTGGAGGAGGAGGAGGGAGGGGGGGAAGGGGGAGTTCAGGAGGAGAGGGGGGGATGAGGGTAGTGGTGGCGGTGGTGGTGGTGGTGATGATAATGGTGATGATGGTGATGATGACGACGATGATGATGATGATGATGATGATGATGATGATGATGATGATCATAGTGGTGGTGATGATGATGCTGAGGATGATGCCGAGGATGATGAAGATGAAAATGATGATACTGCTGCTGATGATGATGCTGATGGTGGCGATGATGGTGCTGGTGGAGATAACGATGCTGATGATGCTGATGCTGAGGATGTGGATGCTGATGATGCTGATGATTATGATGGTTATGATGATGGTGATGATGGTGATGCTGACGACGATGATGAGGATGTTGCTGATGATGAGCCTGGTTATGTGGACGATGACGAGGATGATGACGGTTATGGTGATGATGCTGATGATGATTATGATGGAGGTGATGATGATGATGATGATGATGATGATGATGATGATGATGATGATGATGAAGCGATGCTGGTCAGTTTGAGGGCATTTCGGACGATGATACTGATGATGGTTGCGATTAGGAGACGGACGACGGCGACGACGATGATGGTGATGATGATGCTGATGTTGATGATGCTGATGATAAGAATGTTGAGCATGATGGTGGTGATGGTGATGAGGATGACGATCAGGATGGAGATGCTGATGCTGAGTTTGATGATGATAATGATAATTATGATGATGATGATGCTGATGCTGCTGATCATGATGATGCAGTTGATGATGTTGATGAGGATGCTGATATTGATGATCATGATGATGATGCTGATGCTGTTGATGATCATGATCATGATAATGATCATGATGATGCTGATGATGATGATGCTGATGATGGTGATGATGATGACGATGCTGCTGCTGATGATGATGATGATGAGGAGGAGGAGGAGGAGGAGAAGGAGGAGGAGGAAGTGTGATATCAGCTGGAGGTAGGGAAGGAGGAGGGAGGGCAGGAGGAGAAGGATCTTCACGCACAAGCAGGACCAGCAGTGTCAGCGGCGGCGGCGGCAGGAGCGCACGCGTGCGGGTGCGAGCAGGAGCACGGACGCCAGGAGAATGTGAGCCGAAGCGGGAGCGCAGGCAGCAGGGAGGAGGGAGTGGAGGAGGGAACGGGGAGGAGGAGGGGATGGGAGGAGGAAAAAGGGGGGGGGAAGAGGGGAGGAGCTACGGAGCTACGGATGCTACGGCATTACGCAGGCGGACCCGTGGGGCGCTCTGGCTCATTCGGCTTCGCTGTGAGCCTTGGGCCAGATTCCCTTCTCGATCGTAGATACGATACCTATGTTGCTTCACAGCAGCAATTCGGCCCCTGACTCTTTCGTCCTGGGTTCGGTTGAGTGAAGTGATGAATTTCGGGGTCCTCGCGTGGGAACAAACATCACTTCACTAATGTGGGGCCCCTGGGGCCTCAGTGGGCGCTGGGGCCCAAAATTAGTGACGTGATGGTTTTCGGGCCTCGAATTAGAGAGTTGCTGTACGACCGTGCACTGGACAGATGGGCGTTGCCCAAGCTCTCGTCCTACCAGCCAGGAGTCACTGCCCTCCCCCTTGGGGTGGCGTCGGCCAGCGTACCAGCCTCCGCAAACGTTCCTGGCATCGCTCGGACGTGCGCGTTTTTTCCTCGGCGAATGGCCAGCGTTAGTTTTGTCTGCAATATACACCACGTGTGCGTCCCCTCGCCGTCGTCTTTCGTCTTCATCACGGCGCCGGCGTTTGGCCGTGCTCTCGCGCCCGCCAACGCTCTCAACAGCGTTTGGCTGTTCGTTTCCCTGCCTGCGCGTCCACTCGGATGCAAGGCCGCTGTCTGTCTGTCTGTGCGTCCCCTCCTTGGAGGCCACTGTAGAGACAGCGCCTTCTGTAGCACCATGGGTTCAGAACGCTCGGAGTACACGGCCAAACCTGCACCCATTCTCTTGAGGCGAGGGCCGCGGGATCCCTCACCCTCACTGGCGTCTCCAAGAATGACCCGAGACATCCTCGGGTGAAACAATCGAGACCGAAAATTTGCCAACTAGGAGATTCCTGTGGGGGGGACACTCGAACCCAACTGGATGGGATGAGGCCCCTCGGCCACATGCATGGCTCCGACTCGTGCTGAGCCCAAGCCTTCGGCGAAAACTCCTCACTGACGTCATAGATCGGGTGTGACGGCTCCCCGAGCAAGCTCCCCACTGCTCGGCCCGCTTCGATGGTCCGGTACGCGGCTACGCTGCTCCAGGTGCCGCCGCCAGCATCAGGCCAGCCAGCCTGGCCCCACTGGGCTTAAGTCGGGCTTAAGTCCTGCACACGCTCGCCGTCGAAGTGCCGAGCTGCTTCCTGTCAGTGTCTGGCCATCACCGTGGGTTCGAGCTCCAGCAGGAAAGCATTATGCACGTCCAGATCTCTGCCTCCTGTGAGCTTGGTCATAACAGTTATCCCATGCATCATTGTCTGCCGTTCACATGGACGCTGCCAAGTCGCAGGCCCACTAGGATCCAGTCCTTACTGCAACGAAGAACAAACTGCTGCAGATGGTGGCCCACGTACGTGTCGGCTTCTCTGCTGAGGCGCAAGTGCTTTCATATCCTGGATCAGCTGATGCCAAGTACGTTCCACACCCGCGCGCATTGTCGTTTGCGTGGTCCAACGCCTGAGCAACAACTGCAGACATTCTCTGGGCAGTTTGAGCACTGGGTTGCGCCCAGGTGAGCATCTGTCCAGTAAAGTGGTACAGCACCTGCCAGACAACCTGGGCGCCACTGCATCGCACATGTGGACCTCATACGCTGCACCCGCTTGCCGCACAATCCGTGCAGCTGATGCCAAGTTGCCCCTGCCGCCAGCGCGCCCTGCTGCTTCGCCGTGAGCTTGAACCTGCGTGCCGTCCTGGCGCAGCGCATAATCTTGCTGTGTTTGCTCTTGTGCTTGCCATCCCTTGTTGTGCGCGCAGCTCTTGCATGACACCTGCCCCCGCCGAAGTCACCGCCGAGGTAAGCTGCCTGCGCAGCCGCTCGAACACTGAAGCCGTGCTGCTCCACCCTTCGCACGACAGCTCGGGCGCAGCCAGTTTGGTGTACGCAACGACGCTCTTCGGAGAAACTGTCAACCCTTCCCTCAGTCATCTGCAGAAGCGTCGTGCCCCAACGTGCTCATAGCTGCTTAACCACCGCCCTCCTGGATTCTGTCGCAACCTGACTTAGATCATCAATCTGGAACCCGTGCGAAAGATAGGCATGATGCTTTGCAGTCCTCACCAACATGAAAAAGCGCAACTACCTTCGCAAGTCGTGCCCCTGGCGCGCCTGCACAAGTCCTGGCCAATTTGCGCTTGATTGTCTCAGACATTTAGCCGACATGCACGTCAGCAGCTCCAGAGCGAGCACCTCATCAGGGAGCTTTAATCGCAGGGCTACTCGCCCACACTTCAAGCACCCAATCGTGCCATAGAAACTGGCGGTGTCCAGCTGCCCGTGTCCATGAGCAGCCCCAAGACGTTTCGCCAGCTCCTCGTCCACTGATGAACGCTTCCTGGCTGGCCGCATTGCCCTTGACAGCTGCAGCCCACGGCGCATCTCACTCCTCAGGCCAGCACGCGACCCAAGGCTCACGTGCCAACGAACCTATTACTTTGCCGCCCGTGACTTTCTTTGGCAGTAGCGTGCCGATGATCATCGCCAGTTGGTGCGGCCAGCAAAACACCTGCCCGCAAGCATTGGGCAGCGCCGCCAACTCATCATGCGCCGCCGTGGGCACTCTATCTACATCCATTGCCGTGAACCTGTCGACGCCCATGGCCGCGTCGGGTTTCAGGTTGCGCCCAGCCTCCTGCGGCTGCTACCCTATAAGATCAGGCAACCGCCCATCACGAACACGAGCATGGGTTTAGTCGAACAGCTCAAGCGGCTCAAAAGTGCCCCCCATGTGATGGACTTCGAACCTTCTCCCAGCGCCGCTGCTTCTAATCCATGGTGTCCCTGTGATGCTGGTTCGCGGCGCCTTTTTATTTCCAGCATGCGAAACTTGCGGGTTCTCCTTGGCCTCAAGATGCAGACAACGTGTTGACGCTTGACTATCCGTCCACTCTCGAAACGCATCGATCGACTGATTCGCAGCTCTGGTCTGGCTACGCTTGGCCACTAGTTCGCTCCGCCTCGCGCAAACTTGGAACCGCTCGTCAGACTGCTGCCTCGGATCTGACAAAATACTCAACCACTCGCTCCATGCAGCTCGATCTCCACGCTCGGCAGCTCGGCGCCCTGGCCTGGGCGCCTTCCGAACAGCCTGGTGCTCGTCGGCAGCAGGACAACCTGCTGCTTCTCTCCACTACCTCTCGACGATGTTTCAAAACGTGTTGCTATGATTGTGTTCACTCGCGCGCGCGTTGCGGCCTTAATGTGCATGCAGCGTGTCCTCTGTTGCCCTTCCGCCGGACCGGTCGACCTCTGCGCAGCCGCCGACGCGGAATGCGCGCGCTCGCGCCCGCCGTCCGCTGGCGCGCCCAACAGCGAGCAGACGAAGAGGAAGAGACACCTTTCGGATGATGAAAGTATAATAGAATCAACCAGCGTGGACGCTGGGCGCCTTCGCCAAACTCAGACGTTTTGCTTCAAATTATAAGAGATACGACATGGCCTTGAAGTTTCGGGCAGAACTGGGATCGGAGTTGCAGAGAAACGCCCCGGGGAGAAGGCTTCCCTGGCAACAGCCAGCCCGCCCGTCCAAGTCAGTGCGCGACGTCATCTACCATGGCGACGCGATGCGATTCCCCCTCCCTCTTTTCATTGCAGATTCGGAGTGATGGTTGGCGGGGTTCTATGCATGCTGCGCAGCGCGCGCGCAATGTCGAGGCGGGTCACGGTCGGGGAGGGGGGGGGGCGGCATGCAAGGTGGTGCGCGATTAGCAGGGCGGGTGGAGATGCGCTACTATCTCCATAGATCGTACTCGGCTGCCACAGCTGATCTGGCTCAACGT